TATGAAGTCAAAACAAACAGGTGAGATTGTTCCATACCGATTTCCAAGTGAATATTTGTCGTCTTTATAGAATCTTCTCACATCTCCAGACGTCTCTGCCCAGGTAATTAGATCACAGCACTTGTTAAGCTAAAAGGGAAAAAAGGAGATAAGATTCCCTCTCTCTCGCCTCTCCCATTATGGTTTCTTTCTCCCCCAGAGCTATTTGACTACTGTATCACGACTTGAAAGTTGAGGAAAGTCCTGAGCTGTCAGGAGGCATCAGAGAGCAGCGGTGCCCTGCGGAGAGATCGTCTCTGTGCTGCTAAGATGGAGGCCAGCGCCCTTTCATCCTCTCCTGCAGAAAGACGCTCTTTCATTCTCTCCAAGGTAATATGTCTAACAACATCAAGGTGAGGGAGATTGCAGATGCGGTGCAGGAAATTCTGCTGTGCAACTGGGATGCTGGAAGGAACAAAGAGTTAGTGAGAAAATATCAAACACATGGGGGATTGGTGTAATGAATTTAGATAGTCTATTTAGATACCGACATCTGTGTTTGGGGAGAAAAGCCCAGCTTGAAGTTTCTCAAACCTGAATGGATGACCAGGGCCTTTTCTGATGAGAAATTAATGAGGTCTAGCAGAACCTATTAAAATGTGTCTCTCTGCTAAATATGATTTTCCTCTTTCAAGGTCATACAAGTAGCAGCAATTTAGATAAATGTGTACTCATGTAATTAAGCTGCGTTCTGTGTAGACATGGCTCAAACCTCACAGACAGCAAATCAGTGACATCTTTAAACAAGAACAAAAGAGACTAACGGTATTAAACATGGACCAGGAAATTTACTATCTTCAGCAGAGTGAAGACCGTAGGGATCTGGGATTACTAAACTGAATTGAACTAAATGGAACCGGGCATACTGAGAAAACAGAAACACGTTCACTTTGTCAATTAGTTGGGAGGGGGGGGGGGTCTTGCATTTTGAATAGATTCATTTTAGGATGGACACCTTAGGCATTAAAATACCACTGAAAAAACGAGATTAGTTAAATTACAGAGCACATAGTCATCTATTTTCGGGATCTCACTGCAACAGTACTACGTTAAAAAATAGTACGCTGTTTTTATTGCATGTGCACACCAATGCCTGTGTTTAGATCTACTTACTTCTTTAATACAGGCAGTTTCATGTCTGAGAGGCTGATTTTTAAAGCTTACAGGATACATAATTTTTGTTATATTAAGGTCACTTGAAAGCTGTTTTTCTGCCTTGAGTGTGAGTCTTTTTAGGACATTGGTTTTTTGAAAGTCCACAAGACATCAGTGCTCATAATTATAGTTACACCCCCATATAGGTGCGGGTGTGTCATTAGCATAGAGTCACTTTTAGGAAGATGAATAGACAGACAGGCTGAGAGTGAAGCATGGCCTTTAGCCTCATAATCCTACTTACAATGCAGAGAGAGCCCTGAACTTACCAGAAAAACACTGCCTGTCTACCTCCTGCTGAGACCAGAGAATATGGGCGCTTGATGGCTGGTACGTCAGCACGTGGGGCCCACGCCAGTACAAACTCAGTCACACTTGAGAACAAATGACACAGAAAAGGGGACATTAGCAAATATCTTTATATAATTATTATGTAATCAAACCCCCAAAAAGTGGGGTTTTAAATCACAAATAAATTATGTTACTGAAAAGCTGACTGTCTGACAAAACGTCTAAGGAAATGTAAAGAATTAACACTTTTGAGATGCTTTTCAAAGCAATTTTCACCCAGCAAACCTGAAAAATTACGGGTTATAGTGCAGCGGTTTGCATCAGGTTGTACAGGTGCTGAGTGATTTATGGCTCTTCTCTGTGATGTGGTTTAGTTGAAGGAGTGTCATTTATGCTATTCCTTATCTCTGTCTCGGCCTGTCAAACATACCAGCCCGCTGGCTCCATGTCGAGCGTTTGCATGTTTCAGAGATGGGAAGTTGTCAGGGACTGACGAGACAGGTGAAACAAAACTTACAAGCCCAATTCTCTGTTGAGTCTGTCTTTCTTGTCAAAGAGCGACGGCTAATGAGGTGTGAGATATTCACCTTTGTGCTGTATGCCTAGATGAACTAGTTTGTCTCCTGTTCTGGGGACAAATTGAATAAGAATCAGACTTTGTGCAGTGCACTACCATTCCATAGAGCTTTTCACACTGCGCTTAACACCTGGATCTAAACCCTGCTTTTATAACCCCGGGTAAAGGTACATTTTACACTTGTAATTTAGAAACGGGGTTAGCACTGCTTTTTACTCGGGTTTATGGGGTGTTAACCCTGCATTGCGGTGCCAAACGTACACAGTGCTTAGCAAGATACACCCAATCGCGTGCCTCATATGTGTCACATGCTTTAGTTTGGACAGTCAGTGACACATCGCGCATTCTAAAAACAGTCGTTTCAGTATTTGAGGGGAAAGGGTCAAGTTGGTGATAGAAAACACATGAATTGGATTCAAGAATAGACTATTTTATTCTTACCGTTGTAGTCCACCAAACAGACCATTCAGGAAAAACTTGACAGTGCAATCTACAATAGAAGAATGAATAGGTATCTGAGCTCCATTGCAATACTTTAAAAACAAAATTACAGAACATTCTGTAATCATAACATTTAAACCTGTGAAAAAAATCTCAGAGATGACACACTTTCCACCAAAACACACCTATTCTGAGTGTGTCGAAAAGAGCTATGATTATGCTCAACTATCTAGCCTGAAAATGCTAAAAAAAAAAAAAAGGGGGACACTGTCCATTAAAGCTGAATGTTTTCTCTGGCTGTAAAACTCTCCAGAAAGGCCACTAAGGACATACCATTCTCTCTTTCCACTGCATATCTAAGGGCAGGTTCAGGTAATGAAAACACAGCAGTCGTATAACACAGACACGGGCTGAGACACCTGTTTGGAAGTCCACAGGGGAGGAAGAGCAGGTAATAAGCACCTGACACAGAGAGAGGCAGCTGTCAGAAACAGTGAAGCTGTCCAGAGGCTGGTATAATGAGGTGTAATTAAAGTCCAGCTAACTCTAGCCTTCGGCTGTCAACTGCCTATCATAATACATCTGCAGGACTCAAGGACATGGAAACAAGAGAAAAAAATAGGGTTTGAAATATTTTGTCAGATCAGTGCTGAACCAATAAAATTATCAGCGGGCATGAGGAGTCCCATTGAGACAGCTGAAAAATGTAAGCAATAAAACGAGTGGAATATTCTGTCTTTTCGGAAAACACCGAAAAGCTTACAGGATACAGAATTTTTGTTATATTAAGGTCACTTGAAAGCTGTTTTTCTGAAATTAAAATTATTTATAGAAATTCATAAAATTAAGAAGTTATTTATTTAAGTTTATTACATGATTCTTAATTATTTAAGAAGTTAATAAATAGCTATAATCACATGATTTCTGCAATCGAGACTTCGTTTCGTCATTATGTTTTGAACCTTGTTTCGAAACTTTCCGGTGCATGGTTCGCCGCTAGAGGTGAAAACTGTGTCTCATGGTTTTAATTAATTTTAACAAACATGCATGCATAATTAAAAAGGTAGAGTGAAAATGGTTTCTAATTGGCCTTCTTAGTCAAGTATTGCCTAAAAACATAAAACAAGCACTACAAATAAAAAAATAATACAAATTATACATACACTTCATAATCAATTGAATTCATTGACTTGCAGTTACACTTTCATAAAACATTAATTGGTTTGTTAAAGATGTCTTTTGGGTTGTGTTCAAATTTACTGTTTTGACCAGCAGGTGTCACCCGAGTGCAGTTTTTCGAGTGCATCAATTTTTTTTATTTTATTTTTTGCGGAGCAATTTGTTAAATTGATTGTTTGTTCAAATGTTTGTTTTTGCATTGATTGTTCCATCTCTAATGATTTGTCTAGGCAGACTCATTTGTTCATGACTGCCGTTACTTTTGTATCACACCGAAGACACACTTGTGTCATACGAAGTAGGCTACTTGGTGCTTTTGTACGCCGTAGTGCACTATTTTACTTAGCGGAAGCTTTAATACATGTAAGATTATATCCGTGTACTGGCAAATGTGAACTATTATATATATATATATATATATATATATATATATATATATATATATATATATATATATTAGAATGCAGTGCCAACCCACCATCAATGGCATTGTGGGAATTCACATAGTGGCACTGGAATGTAAGGGTGAGCAAAAGCCTGTGGTGGCAGAGGAGCACAAAAGCACAGGCTGAAGCATCATGTGAGATGGATGCATTCCCATCAAGCTGGAAGACAAAACAGATAACCACAGGGGAGCAGATGCAGTTGATTTATGTACTCTCCACCTTTAGACTGCAGCATGAAGTCACAGATGCGCAAAATAGAGTGGAAAAAAAGTGTCCTGAGGAAGAATAAGCAGTTCAAATTCTAATTCAAATTAACACGGTGAGGAATTTCATAAGACATATTTGATTCAACATACAATTTGACCTTTGACCAGTTTTAAGTTGTTTTACAGTATAAGTGTGATCAGAATACGATTTAGAAATGTGGAGAGGAAATTTCTTTGTCTTTCATTCCAGCAGCTTTGATGCTTTTTGTCTTTGCCTGCTCTGTTACAGAATTACCACACCCAAAAATGTGCACACACACAGATGCCCTCTTCTGGTCAGGTTGGAGTTCATTTTGAATATTCTAATATGTTATTGCTGTTGTATTTCATTTTTAATCATTTTAACCAGATTTAGCACCACATATAAAAATGTTACACTGAAAAATGCTTACATTAATTCCTTTTGTCTATATATATAGACAAAATATTTATGTAATGTTTTAAATACTTACATTACATACATAAAATTACATAAAGCAAGACAGTAACATCATATTATAAGGAAGACTAGTTGGCATTTCTTCAGAGATACAAAAAAGAATATTAACAAATATCCCATCCTTAAGGATCATACCTAAAACTCTAACATCTAAAGCTGAACTTAATTTTTTCTGCATACGTCACTAAACGTTTGGAAAACAATTCACTGAGAATTTGTGGCTTTTACTGATTCATCTGAGGCTTCATGGGATGAACAATGGGAGAAGGGTGTCGGCCATTTCAAAGTGTAGTCCCTGTAAAACATCATATGAGACGTTAATTGTGACAGACTTTTCAAAACAATGAGCTTATTTTGTACATTTAATTCACATTTCTTATTTTAATAATCTTGAACATCTCATTGTGTATGTAATTCATCTAAGGATGGGGAAAGAGCATGAGAGGACCTGTGGATTTTCTGCCCTTTTCTCTTCTGAAACTCTTCCTCATCCACTGTCCACACCGCTCCTGTCCTCCCGTCCACCCGCACAAAGCATTTGTGGAGACTAAGATTGTGTCGCACAGCATTCTGAGAAAAAGGTTGAAATAGCTGTTAATCAGAGAATATAATTGATATTCATATGAAACAGGTCTACTGCCATTATTCAGTATGATCTTATGTCAAGAGCTCCACCATGTGGACATAAATATAAATAAATATATATAAATGTCAGGCCAATCTCAGGATCTAATAAATAAACCTGCTCAAGACTGGAGCTTTTTTGTTTTAATGAAGCTAATTTATATGGCATTAAATCAGATGCACAAGCACAATATCATTCAAAAATATTATTATACATATTATACATTTTAATATTTAAAAAATGCTTAAATTGAGTTTCAAACTGAACAGAAATGGGAGTCTCCAGATCTCAAACTGATGGTTAGTTGGCAGTGTCAGCATGTTTAGTACCTTCCATGTAGGAGAATTGTGACGGAAGTAGAAGAACATTCTTGTGAACCAGTTGTAAATTTCGTTTAGCGTCCGCTGTTTGTCTGGGGCTTCCAGGATTGACTGTAGGAATCAATGATTAATTATATATATTTATTTATTTATTTACATATGACATTTTTTATTTTAAAAATACAAGGATTCATTTAAAATTCACAGTGAGCATCAGCAAAATGTACTAAAAGTAAATATATAATAAATAATTAATATGTATATATAATATGTATGAAATATAATAAAATATGTATCAAATATGATATACTATATATACAATAAAGGCAAACAAAAGATGTGTACTTACCCATCTGATTAAGAAAGCATATGTATATGGAGGTCGTATATTGGCATATTTGTAGTATTCAACACTGCTGACAAAATCTGTAATTGCCAGAAAATCTAATTACTAAGAAGCAAAACATTGCACAATATTCTTGGTAATTGATCACAAACCCTCATATGTACATTGTGCCTCAAGTATGTCGCTATGAGTTTTGCTGCAAGTGCAAAACGTACAGCCGTGTAATGGCTATGAGTCAGTCATTTTCGATAATATACTTGCGCAATACATCTAGCAAATGCGGAATTAAGGTTTTATAATAGACGGCCTATGAGAAAAACTCCAGCTGAGTACGTCTAAACTACATTTGCTCCAGGCCTTAGGCTTCCTTTGTGGTCTGCTGGCATGCCAAGTGTGGCAACAGGAAACAAGCAATGTCACAGCTTCAACTGCAGTCATAGTGGTAGACCACCAACTTTCTACTGTCTGGCCAACAACATAAACACATAAAGCGAAAGGAAGTAAGAATAAGATTCACACTGTAAACAGCAGTAGATAGTGACCTTTACTAATCGGTATATTTTCCAACCACTTCAGCGTCTGCATTTCAGTTTCACTTGATTGGATTTTTCTAATGACACTTCTTAGCTAGATTGTGTGTGGTTCGGGGCACAGCAAGATGTGTATTTTGGATTTAAGCAGGTTTTACCTGGCAGCAGGTGTGGTAGGGGTATGTGCCAGGGTTCCTGTCGTACTGGTGCTTCACTAGCTCTTTCTGTCCTGCCATCTGGCTCCCCCACCCGGGGCAAATTTTGTGCCAGCAGCCTCCACCAGCCTGAAGCAACTCCCTGAATGAGAACACACAAGAGAACACACCTACATATGAGAGCGATATTGAGCACAGATATGGTTTTCCGTAGACGTCTTGAGATACGACTTGTTCATCTGCACTTATAAATTTACTGACGTTTCATGAAGTCACAAAAAGGAAATGTCGTGTTCACTGTGAGAATCGCTATATCTAGACGCTCTCATGAAACTTGTGGCAGTGTCAGAGTATTCTGAAGAGTCTTACGGTACGCGTCGAGATGCATTCAAACAGATGAAGGTGAAGTTGCATGGCGTGAAGTTTCTGCTTCTCCTGAATGAGCTGAAATCATCACATATAGCTTGTTAGAGCCAGTGGGTTTTCAGACCGCTGTTACCAAGACGTTTTGATTCTTTTGGGTTCACACTCAATGACTCAAAACCAATGAAACCATGATTCACTTTCTTGTGCCTCATTCATGATAACTGATGATGATCAATGATGCAAAGCGTGACCTGTGTGTGCTGCCCGTGAAAGACTATATCACTGATGTACCTGATTCTCCATGTGGCGTACCAGGTCTTGCTGAACCCGCCACTGTGCAATCGTTTTTTCATCTGTGCTGTGGTCTCGGTTCAGATGTCTAGACAGGATGAGAATCAAAAGCTGTGTTCTAAAGTTTGAAAATGATCAATTCCAACAAGGAAGGCTTGCTGATGTTACTAAAAAAAAAAACTTATAGACTTACCTCAGAAAATGTGTATACCTTTCAAAGACTTTGTCACAGCCTGGCCAGCGACATTGTCCGTTTACAAAAAAAGAGTTGGATCTCTGGATTTCTGACTCGACTGGGCTGAGAAGGACACACGAGGGACATCAAGATACTTACTGATGAACATTTAATACATTACAATTTTATTTTCTTACCTGTACTTACCTGTGAGAATGAAAGCTGGAAGATTGTTTCCTGTGCTGGCTTGATCCAGAGACAGCTTGGATAGAATTCTGCGCACTGTGACCTGTGTCTTTTCTTCTGTTCAAGGCTGTTGGGTTGCTCTCATTTGCTAAAGAATAAGGCAAAATAGTGCACACTTGTGAGTACTTTAACAAATTATTTTTTTTAGCTATTTATTATATTGTTTTTAAATTAGTAAAATACACTATATAAATATATGTATAAAAGATGTTTTTAAAACTATAAATCTCAACTAAAATCATTTAAATTGTCTTTAAATTATGTGTGTGTGTGTGTGTGTGTGTGTGTGTTAATATATTCTATAATATATATTATATTAATAGTAATAAATAAAATAGTATCTCTAAATATATAATATACTGTATAACACTACATATAAATATTATGAATAATACATTGCAATCACAGCATAATAAAATATTGATCTTGACAGTTGTGGTCAAACATTTACACACCCCTTGCAGAATCTGCAAATTATTAAAAAATTAAACATAACAACAACAATTATTATTATTATTGTTGTTGGCAGAATTATTTGTGTAAATTCAGTTAGTACTACATAAAAAATAACCTGCAATTTTAATGATCACTCTTTAAAAATAAATTTTTTAAATGAACATTTTGATTATTCTACAAGGGGTACAGAAACATATGACCACAACAGTATTATACAAAATAACTACATTGTTAAACAGCACATCCTTCAGACAGAGTTCATGTTTTGTTTTTATTTCTTTTGAAACCTTTTGAGTTGAAACACTTTGAAACAATTTGAGTTAGTTGTATGCAATGGCAGTTTTCGTGATTTAAAATGCCTTTGCTCACCATAACATGTAAATATATGGAATATAACGATACCTCTGAGGATTTCACCACTTTGACTATGTCAAGGTAAAATGTGAAGTTTGAATAATTCATTGGAACACAAACCCTGAAGCAGGAGAGCCGGAGAGCGAAGTACAGATGGCCTGATCGGGCCAGACTGAGAATTCTGAAACACCAGCTGAAGAAACTGCAACCGTTCCTCATCAGCAGCTCTCTGCACACAAACACACTGAGAAGCAGGCCAACACAATAAAGGCAATTCACCGAGAGCTACAGCACATCTGTACTATAGCTTTTAAACATCAGTAGTTTATTAATGTACCTGGCACAGAGGATGTTTTATTTGTGATCAGGACAAACAGAAAATACAAATGATAAAAATTAAGAACAAATATATATACAAATATAAATTTATAACATTTAACAAAAAATACACATAGCAAGAAAATTAACAACAATTTCAAAATACTTCTATACAGAAAACAATTTTGAATCTCCAGAAAATGCAGTGTAAATTATATGCAAACAACCTACAAAGGGATGTCGTCCTTTTTAAGGCATCGTTACAGAAAGTACCAGAGAATAAAGCTCACTCACACAACGTACCCCAGAAGAAAGATGTTCCATGGGCCGTGGTGAAGAAGATTTGTATAACAGAGGGGGAGATGCATCCCGCTCTTCTTTTAGTGGTTCATTTTCTCTCCCACTCACTCTTTTGTCTCTCTCAGATTGAGGCATTCCTGAAGTCAAGAGTTTGAAAAAGATTGCAGATTGATGTACAGAGTTGCAAACTTACACATTACATTTTAATTTTACATAATATATACTGTATATGTTAGCTTCTTAAATTTATCTTTAAGGTTAACTTAGCATTGTATTTTCCTGTATTAGGAAATATGATCGCTTAAAAAAATCTAATCTCAACATTTTTGATGAATGGCTATGGTATTTTTAATTTGGTCATTTTATCAATATTCATGAGATTTAGTCAGCTGAAACAGTTTTGATCTAAATTTTTGTCTCTGGAAAATAGTAATCAATAACATTGTATTATGTTGAAAAGCAAAGTTTTTTGTGTGTCTACTTGTTAATGAGGGATCTATGGTCACATTAATGCTTTTTGATTTGTGGAGTACAATATACAGTTTTTATTTTGAAATAAGAAGAATTAGACCCTTGGGGTAAGATGCCCACCCTCTAAGTGGCAAGTTGTTACTAGTGTAACTATTTTTACATTTAATACTTATTGTAATTAATGGGATTATTATTCAGTATTTTCATTAATTAGATGAAAATATTGGATATCTTCCTTTTCAGTAAAACCTGTAGGTTAATTGAGTGAAATCATTTAATTTGAATTCATAGTGTTGCTATTGTGACATATCTTCCATTATATATATAATGCATTTACCTTTCAGATCTCTCTTACTGGGATTCTGCTTTGTCTGTTATTCAGTTATTCAACATAGAATATTTACTTTAGTATTTTACATTAATGACACTTTAAATATTAATAAGAAATTATATCAGAAGTAATTGATACATTCTGTAAATGTTTACCCCTTCTTACCCCCAGTAGTGAGGCAAAATGGCCTCTTTGAATAATTCTACATTTTGTGCTAAAACAACTAAATTAGCAAATGTTTCTATTTATTTCCCATAATAGCACACTGGCATCATCCTGCACATGCTAAACTTATATCTAAATATGTTACAGTTTAAAGGTAAATACAGATTGTTCTTAAGGGGGATATCATTGACCATCTTACCCTGCATCTTGAAATTTACTGAATTAAAAAAAAAAGTTATGTTTTATATATCAGTACACAGACCCCTTCAGTACCTTCATGAACCCCTGGGAATGTGTTTACCTGATAGAAATTAGTTACATTTGTTGGAAATATATGCAAACATGGCCACACCTAAAAAGTATACTATAGAGAAGGCAAAATAAATACTATTGGCATCTCACAGAAAACCACGAGGGAACAGAAGAATGGAGCTGGTATAATTACATGAAATTCAACATGCATGAAAGGAATGTGAGTTCTAGGAACACAGACCCTAATGGTGGAGTTTTCCTGTAAGCACCAAGGGGGTGAATGAGGAAAGCAAAGTGAGTGACTGGTATTCTCTGAGTGAATACATATTTTACAGTAGTCACAAGACCATTATTATTTCTGACAATCTCTAATCTCTAACTTTCCTATTTTATGTTAAAGTCTCCAAAAAAGTCTAAACATGTGAGTTGCTTGAATGCATACCCAAAACATGCACGACATCTATCTGTCATAGAAGACACAAACCTCTCCCACCTCTCAGGAAACCACAGACACACACTTTGCATTTTGCAAAAACATGCACGAAAGAAGCAACCCAGGAACAGGATAAGGAATATAAGACAGAGAAAGAATGTGGTTGGTGGTGTTATTGAGCCTGAGCTGAGATCAGTGCATCTATAACAATAAAAGAATGTTTTCATGCACTCCTCTACACTTTAAACAAACATCGAATGCAAGCAAACATGAAAATTCAGTGAAAATGTATTTTCATTTCATCTATTAAGAATAAAAATAAGAAAAATGACAATACTTTCATTAATATTCCAAGTCATTTGCTTTTCCTGGCAATGTGAGGAGTGTCTGGCACTCCATATGTAATTTTGCTTTCAGGTTCACATCACTCAGTGATGGAATATTAGTCACTATCTCGCTTGATCATTTTTCCTCTTTTCACATACATTTTACCTGCCTCACAAGACATAATCTAAGTGAAACTACATATGGGCATCAATATTTGTCAGCTGTACTTTCCATTCCATCTCTACCACATGAAAGTTAAAAAAAAAAACTAAACTTTGTTCGTAAAATAAGGATGTTATACCCGCGAAGATTTTAGAAAAAACTAAACAAAATGACTCACAGTGACCATAAATTGTTCTCTTTTATCCTCCCACTTTCATATTTCCAACGTTTGAGTATAGGCGTACATGCAGTAAAGATAAACAGTAAATAATTTCAATAATCTCAATTTCATATGCGACATACATAGTATCATAATCATTTGCTTTACAACAAGGTTAAAATATTATTCAGCCATGCAAAGCAAGTGTTCAAATTAAAAAATTGTTTTAATTAATTATAATAGTCCTATGATTTGAAAACGTTTTCCCTGGAAAATGAGCGTTCATTAGCACTGAATTAGAATCTTCACAAGCAATTAAGTCCCGACATACATCTCATGTGCATGCAGGTAATGTGAATTCAGATTTGAGTATCCATACAAATTTGTGATAATTTGGAAATATCGTAATCCATAGCTGTCTCATCTAAGGCCTGCATGGAATACTTTGTCATCAAAGTTATCATTAAATGACAAGCAGTATTAAATCAAGCATATTTCAGAAACAAGTACTGTAAGTAAATATTCACCAAGAAACAGCGTTCTTTACCTTGCACCTCTAGTCAGCCGTTGTCTTCCTGTGCTGTTCTGGTTAAAAACGAGAGTGAAAGGATCTTTATAGGATAAAAATATAAATCTGAAAAAAGACAGATAAAATCTCACATCAAAGGAATAAATGCAATGGTAGATTCTTCAAATTGTATCAAAGGTCATAGATCACATGCAGATGGCATGCAGCAATATTATTCTTCCGTGAATGGCAAAGGACACACTAGAGACGAAAGACCATCTAACATGTCAGTCTGCAGAGGTTGAGCACAAGTTTTCTTGTGGAAGATGAAAGGCAATTCATGCTACTTTAAAAAAAAAAATTACGTTAAATGTTATGTCTTTCTGTCCCCCAAATGTTTCACTATGATAAGTAAGCACAATATTAACAGGAAAAATGTATGCTCTTTTACATTTTAAAGTTACCTAGAAATTTAGAGACAAAATATTATTTACAGATTGTTTTGTTTTTTTACATATGAAAACAAATGATAAAAAGTAATTTAATTCAATGTTGTGCTACTTTATAGCCTATGACAATTATTATGTAATAAAATAATTTATACTATGTCTACTACTGTATGTCTTACAATTACAATTACAAGAAAAAACTCACAAATGAATTACAATATATGATCTGATTTTTTAAAGGGTTTTCTTATATATACATATATATATATATATATATATATATATATATGATTCACTGGTCTATTTGATCTATCATTTCATTTTTTCCAGCGGAGACAAAAAATAAAAAAGTTTTCCAAAACATGAGCAATAATTGTATCAGAAAATTGCATTTTAAAACTCACCTGAAGTCGCCACCTTCCCACATAGAATGTGTCATCGCTCGTCAGTATCCAGCACTTATTTATATTCATAAAATACTCTGTGTCATCACAAAGGAAACAGAAAGAAACGTTCCACAAACATCACTGTATTCATAAACAACTCGCTCCAAAGACCAGGTGCTTACATGGCATCAAACAGTATGTCAAAAGCATAATTAATAAAGAAATAAATATCATACAATAATGTCCCACACATAATTTTACCACTGACCTTTAAGAGACTTTTACGTTTCCATTTACTTTTCAATCATCTTTTGTGTATCATTTTGAAAATAATGTGATTTACACACGTTTAATCACATAATTTTTTGTGTGCATTACAAAAACAACTGACATCAATAATAATAATTTTATTATTAATAATAAATATCATCATCATAAAGTCTCATGATCATTATCATTTTAACTGTAAATTTCTTTCCCTCCAATTTTCTCTTCTGTATTCAGAATTGTAACCAGAATATAAATAACAATTGCTCCCTGGAAATTACATAAATGTGAAATCACTGCATGATTCTTAAAACTTATGCAGGTAATTCTATGTATATTACATGCAATATTCACTGCAACCTTTTCTGTCACTTTTATAAGAAAATAAGAGAGAACCGTGAAGGTGAAATCAGCATCTGTCATATGAAGAAAAGAATGTGTTAACAATTTCCTACTGTTGTGCCATAGTTCAATTGAAAGTTACTTTATTGTCATTTCTCTCCTACAGTATGTGGTAAGAAGACACATTGTCACAATGTAGAACAAAGGTATCAACAGCCAAAAGCATAATAATAATAGTGATGTAGACAGTCGACTGCATAATGACATCTGACAATCTTTAATAAAAGGATGATTCACCCCAGAAACAAAAATTCTGTCATCATTTACTCACCGTCATGTTGTTCCAAACCTGTATGGCTTTCACACACACACACACACACACACACACAAATTAAAATAAAAAGTCCACTGTCCATACAATGAAAATCCAGTGATGTTTGAACCCCAGCATTCTTCATAATATCACACAGAATGTCACACATGTTTGGAACGACATGAGGGTGAGTTAGAAATTTGAAAATTTTCAGTTTAGGTTTAATTATCCCTTTAATATCTTTGCTGTGTGTTTCTGTCAATATATTTTCTTCATTTTACAGTGTACCCTTACTTAAAGTATATTTTATGTCTACTTTGTGTAAGAACATAACAAAATGATTACACTTTTAGTGGGTTTTTAATGTACTTTATATTGCAGTAGGCCTACACATGGTTATATTTTAAATATTTATGCATTTATAATTGATACTTCTGAACTAAACTTTTTCATTATGAAATGTATTAAAGTATTAAATTACTAAGAGTAAAATGGGTAATGATAAGCACTTAACTTTATGCTTAAAATGCATTTTAACATTCAATACGCCTTAATTGTAACTTAGGTTATATTTTTGTTTACACATGGTTCAAATTTGTTTTTTGTTTACACATGATTCAAATCTATAAATACTACAGTTGAACTATGGTCACTTTAGTAAAACCATGGTTCATTTTCATAAGGGACTGCCAGTGACCGGCTGTTGCATGCATAAA